CCTGACCATTACAGCTCCTTCTCTATCCTGGCCATTGACTCTTTACTGTGCTGCCCTCAGGGAAGTGGAAGTGCAGCTTCAAAACCTGCACAGGCCTAATGAACAGTTTCTTTCCCTGGGGCCATGGGAGGCACCAGAATGAAATAATAAAGAAAAAATAAACTGAAAGTGACTGAAAGATTTTAAATATTAAAGTGGGACAACACTTACTTCTATTTTTGCTTATATACTTATATCTTCGACTTGCAATTGCAAGATAATTGTGATTATATAAAAAAGCAGTTGAATGATATTTATTCTAGTAACATAACAAGTACTGCCACCTCTTGGATATGAATATAACTATATTTAAGTTATTTTCATCATCTCTATCTCCCCTTTTTCTGAGAAAGATTGACTTAGAATACAAACTCCATCAGAACCCAAGAACAGCAGTTGCTTTACTTGAGTTGAATACAGTTTGTTGTTATTATTTTGCTGGGAGTTGTGAAAACTTTAAGGCTTTAAAGAAACGACTGATACATCCTTGTGTAGAGACTTAATACCTGTGTGGCTACATTTCTGGCAACATTTAAAATAGTTAATGTACCTTGGGTTTGAAATCATGACATTACCGTATGAAATTATTTAATCACTGTATGTGTATGTGTGTGTAGGCCTGTTTTTTATATCTACCTACATTGACATATGGGAACTACTTTCAACCTCGAGCAGACAGGGTTGAGATTAGGTTATAGGGTTAGGATTGGGATTAAATTATGCCCCCTCATCTCTCTTTCTCTGTCTTTGTGTGCTGATAGTTTTTTTTTTTTTTGTACTTGTTCTACTTGCGCAGAGTTCTCTCTATCTCTACAGAACACCTTGAGGTTGTACCAGCTGGTCCTGGATGGGCAGGCTGGTTCCCATTTAGATTATGGATGGTTATTACTGTCTCCTGGCTGTCAGTCAGATTAGACCAATATGGCCCAGGATGGAGGCTTATCATGCAACAGAGAGGTTCATTTTTCTGTGAAGTAGGAGGAACCATTTAAATGAGTCATCGCCACAGCCTCCTACATTTTACAGATTTATTAGCACAGCTAGTCTCCATTTAGAATGGCACGAATGTGTTGTACAAATTTGAACAATATGTCTGAAACCACTGGTGGAATTACAGAGGGAAAAGTGACAGGTGAGGGTTACAGTTTGGTATGTTGTTCCTGTGGAATTCTGATGTCACTGTTGTGCTTTGATGAAATGGTCTTAGTGGTATAAACGACCAGTAGTAGTTATATTATACAGATGTCAGTGTACAACCACCATCAGTAATTCTGCTTCTGCACACTTTTATAGTTATTATCAGTGTGCAGTCTGTGCCCTGTATGAGATTTGTATTGTGTTTGTCAGTAAAATTCTGAACTTCACATAAATAAACAGACTTTACAGTAATAAAGGGGCAGTGGTGTCTGGAAGGCTTCAGGTTCGAGTCTACTGGCTGCCAAGTTACCACTGAGGTAAGAGGTCACATTTGGTTGTGTGCAGTGGTGTGCTGTGTCACAATAACAAGAAGTTCACTAACCTAATCTACAGTATATTCCCTGTCTAAACAAGAATAAAACTCACAGCACTAAATTGTACAGGTCTATCATCTTTTAGTACTATAACAATGTTATCATCTAACTAAACACTACATAACAGAAGCATCAATAATAGATCAAAAACAGAACACAAAAGGATGAGTTTGGAGTTTTTATGAGTTTTAATGATTACAATTATTTTAAAGCCAAGTGCATTTTGTTGTTCACTTGAGCACATGAGCACTGGGTCATAATTGTTTCAAGAGTTGTTAGCGATCGCTTTATGATCCCACCGCTGAAGTAACTACATCAGTCTGCTTTTATGGAAAGTGAATTTTTCAGCCTTGTTACAGTTTGTGAATTTTACAGACACACAAGTTTACTACAGAAATAAGAGATTAAGGAGACACGCATGTAAATCATTTTCTTTGACTTAAACTATCATTTAACAACCATTTACATTTACTCTTAAAAACATGGAACGGTACACTTCGTGGTACAGGATATACTGTAGCTGCTGCAAAAAACAATTCATGTACAGACTGTGATTTGAGTCTGGGAGTATCCGTATTAGTGATGGGAAGACCGACTCTTTTTATTGATTCGAATCTTTGACTCTCGAACAGTAAAATGAACGAGTCGTGAACGAATGAATGAACGACCTGAACTAATCATTTCATTCATTTTACAGCAGGTTGCGCTTTAGCCCTATTGTGGGTCTTGTAAAGAAGGCTGCGGTTCCCCGACATTAAATACTGAAGGCAACATGGTTTGCGCTTTGTTTCCGCTGACAAAGTACACAAAATGCCATAACCAATTAAAACCATGCGAAAAGTTAAGAAATAAAAAACAAACCACAATGTGAAGATGAATTAGAGCAAAAGAGACCCGAGCTCTTTACAAATGAAACGAATCGAAAGATTAGTTCACATAGGGTGATTCGTCTGTAATGAAATATTCGTTCGTAGTGAAAAATTAGTTTACATTGAAAGATTAGTTCGCAGAGAGTGATTTGTGAGTGATTCGTGAGTTCAATATGAACAAATATTTCATATGACTCGGGAGTCACGAGTCACGAATCTTTCATATGACTCGGCAGTCACCGGTCATATGAAAGATTCGTTCATTTTGAACGAATCACTCGCGAACGACACATCTCTGATCCGTATGATTGTGATCCGAAAGCAATGGTTCCTCATTATGAGGAAAAATAAATCCATCAATTATTGACCATCATCGTATAATATGAAAATCCCTCAAATTGAAAAAAAAAACCTGTACCCTGTAACATTACAGTTAGTTTTGCTTTTATTCCTAAGAGTCAAACGTGTACATTATTTTAAAAAATTAATCTGTCTTGCATTTACACAATATAAAAAAAAACATTCTTAGGGAAATCATCATATATTTTCCATATTACTTAATTTACTTAATTATGTAATTAGCATTACCTCAGACAGGGCATATAAATGTTTCCCGCCAATTATACTGCAATACAAACAGAGTTTTATTCACATAATATTTCAACGTTACAACACCCAGTAAAAAATAAAAACACAAACAATCTCTTTTCTTGTATCTCTACCTTCTCAGCATGTGTTTTTATGCGTGGGTGTGAATACCTGTTGGCATCCAGAGGCATGTGTGTTCTGTCTCTTTCTCTGGCTTTCATTTTTGATGTTTGTATAATTGTGTGTATGCACTGTAGACAGTGTGTGTCTGTAAGATCCCATGTGTGTTTTGACCCCTATGGTGCGAGAGCAGAGGGAAAATGGCAGGAATAAAACCAAAGTTAGTGAAGCGTAGAATGCGCTTGGTTTAGGAGATTACATTGGCCCGTGTGCATGTGACAACACAATAAAGAGCTTTTTGCTACCAAACAGATCAGAGGTTAGAAAAGCACAGGGCTTTGGATTTCTGTGTCTTCACTTGAGGCCGTTCTTTGCTACATTGTTTTTCTGTATTCTTTATTTTTTGCTGTTTGTCACAGAGGTGCTTGAGTAAAAACAGTTTCTCCTTCAGCAGAGAGGAGAATTCATCTTTATCTACTGTCTGGTTGTACATTTAGAGGTTATTTTTAATAGTACTCTTTTGCATTAAATAAAACTCTGTGGGTTTACACTGGAAATGGGTAATATATGAAGATTTTAAAACCTCAGAACAGATCTTTTAAAATCACTACAGGGAAGTCAGACTGATGGGGGAAAAACTGTTTATAAAAAGAATAAAAATCCTCTGTGCAAGTGTGAAGTTGACTATATACTAATATTGATTTTTATTCATGTCTTAATGAATTAAACTTCGGCAACCATTAAATTTGCTCTCTGCTTCATGCACAATGTCTTCTCCATGGGTAAAAAGCAAATTGTTATGGGCTGTTTGGTCGTATATGCGTACATGACATTAAATACTGCTTCAGTTGTAGAAACGGAGACAAAGCAGATGAATTTGTTATTAGCATACTGTACATACACAACATCCCTGCTTATCAGTGGATAGACATGTTATGCAGAGCTATTGAACAAGGCTTAATTTGTCTGAAAGTACAGGAACTTATTTTCATTTAGGGACTCGCTCTTGTCAGCAGGCACTCCAAGAACTTTGGAAGGTTGTTAAACTGGAAAAAAACAAACAAAAAAAAAAAAAAACGAACTTGTGACTGAGTTTGTGGACATGTTTCAAAATGACTTGTCATGAGGATAAAATGTTGCTTAGGAACACAGGAAATTAGGTAAGTCACATATGCAAAAAAATTGCAATGGATGCATCGCTCATCTGCTCAATTAAATGAGTTAAGAGGGGATTCGGGCTGCTCATAAAAGTGGGCAAAAGTATAGAGGAACCTCTCGCCAGTACCTACTGTGTTCTTCATCCATCATTTAATCGATCTATTCATCTATCCATGACACATTCAGAAGGTCAGTGTCTGACTTGGTCCGAGGACAATAGCACCATCTTTCCATTCATTATTTCCATTAAACCAATATACCTGTGCACAGATTTTATTTTGCTTCTTCCTAATGAAGATAGAGACCTTTGGTAATGATGGCAGACGGGGCTCTGGATGTTTGCCACAGGGGCCTAATCCTGCACTGGTTTCAGAAAGATGATCACAAATTAGTCAAATGCCACCAACTAGGCCAGAGTACGATTGCATGGTATAAATTGGAGACGTTGTTTTTTCTGTTGCCTGGATGTAAAATCCTACACAGGTGGCAGTTATATCTGTCACTGACATACTGTAAATATTCCCACTGCTAACATGTTAAACCTTACTGCACATATGGCTGTGTACCGTGCAGTAAATAACATAGTTAAATCAGCAGTATGATATGCAGCTGGTGCAAAGACTATTGCTCTATTGTTGTGTTAAAACTAACATATTTTTTCTGTCGTTTTTCTCCCTCTCTTTTTTGCCTTGTTTTCTGATCCACGCCTCAACAGCAGCAGATGGTGAGGAACCAACTTCAGCAGGTGGGAAATTTTTGTGCTTGGCGACACAAACCCCCTTCATTTGTGAATTGCTGAAAATATGTGTGTGTTTGTTTGTAAGAAAAAGAAACAGAACAAGAGCAATATTTTTACCTCACAAACTAAATCTTTACATCGGTTGTCCGGCTGACTGTGAGTCCTGCATTGATTTACTGACCACAGCTGAAAAGCAGACCTTGCGATTGAACATTTGCTTGTTGATTAGAAAAGGAAAGCTGCCTGAATTGACTCTCGAAATCTTCCCAGTAAATATTTTCTGAATTGCTTTTTTTTTTTTTTTTTGTAACTCCACACTCCACAGTCAGTTCACTGATGAATGCTCCTGCTTTATGGCTTTTCATTACACAATGTCCTACATATATGAACATTTAGCATAATTCCTATGGCTGCTTTTGAAATAGACTCCCATTGTGTGCATTGCCATAAGAGCAGCATCTGTTTCGGGCAATTTCTGTATCACCTTTCCCACCTGTCTCTTTATCTGCCACACAGCACAATATATCCATAAATGACGACCAATGATAAGTGAATGTAAAGTGTGCCGACTCCCTAGAGAGTACATCACAGTACTGTATAGAACCAATTTTTAATAACAGTACACACAGAACCCTCCTCGGCTTTGAAAATGGTTGCCCTTCTTTCAAGTCGTTCTAATGTAATACCAGCTTTATTACCAGACAGGACCACAGAGGACAATGGTAAACAATAAATCTGGTTTGTCTTCATCTCTCTTGTAATTAAAATGTCACTCCGCATCATGGGGAACGACTTTCCTAATTCTTAGCACGTCTTCATCTTCTAATTGTGTCCGTGAATTCTCTTTAAAATTAATTTCTGTTGGATTTTTCAACATCAAGTAGTTTTAAAGTAAGAAAATGTTTTTGTTGTGACATAATAAACAGCCCTTTAGCAGAGTCTGTTGTTGTAAGATTGAGCATAAAAAGAAGCTTTTCTGGAAAGTTTGTTTGATTTTTTTTACTGTCATGTACTGGACATATTCTAAACTGTAAACAAATCAAGAAATAATTATCACATCAAAGAAATGGCTTCAATTATTTGCGACTGGTGACCACTGACCTGGAACTGGACTGAGTGTAAGTGGGACAGGGTGACATGCACAGCCAAATTACTTATGACAGGTTTAAAGCATTTAGCATATCAGCTGCTACTGCAGAGTCTTCTTAATCTTTAATTTACATGTTTACGTTGTTTGGGCTCTTGAAAAGGGCTGTTCTACAACTTTTGACTCTAACCATTTACATGTTGATGATCTCAAGAGTCTCATGCAAAAGGGATAACATTTGGTACCTAATCATAGCAAATGGAGAAAAATATATTTTTTAGAGTTTTTTTTTTTGTTTGTTTGTTTAATAAAGCTTTTAATACAAAGGTGAGTTATTGTGGAATGTTTTTTCAGATATGACATTTTGAAACTCTCTTAGGTGCCATGGCAGATGTCAGCCAAACATTATAACTGTATTATTAACATGGGATTAGAATAATATTTATTTTCTCCTTGAATGTCTTTTGATAGAAATGCAGCCAGAGTGAAGGTAATTATGAGGCCTTTTGTTACTGATAAGTATTTTTCTTTAGTGCATTCCCAGTCCTGTAGTGCTTTACATTACAGACCTTCCCATATTCCTATCAGTGGCATGGCCTAATTGTGAATCTGGAATTGATGAGAAATTCCTTCTCTTAACAAAACAACTGCTCTTGATCAAAAGATATGCCCTAACATGTTCATATTACCATTTACTTTCAGCTTTTGATTACACTGAAGATGATTTTCTATATATAAGGTGGCATTGTTCACTTTCTGTAGAATTCGAAGAAATATCATTTTAGACAAGAGTGAAAAGCTACAGATATGTAGCTCTGACATTTCTGTGGCATTTACTGACAAGACAATCTCCACTCTGCCTCGCTTTGCATTTTTTTTGTTCCTGGAAGGACGGATGGTGATCTTCATTGCCACCCTGCCTTTGATTATTTATTTAACATACTCCGAGCCATTTTGTTACTGAATGATTCTTACTTCTTGAACTCTGAGTGCCTTTGTCTGACATTGTCGAATGATGATGGGCGGGAATAGACAAGGGCGCAGGAGGGAATGGAAGAAGTGCAGCTTGTAGTGACTGCACTGCTGTAATATTGGTGCTTTTCTAGCTTCCATCAGCCGAGGTGAAAGACGGGTGCACTGACCATGAGCCCTAGACCCATCAAAAAAGAGGAGAGAGGATTAAAACAGATGTGACACAACAAGGTCATATCAGAAGTCTTTAGGATTTCTTAAGCATACAAACGTATGTCTTTTCATAGAGAATATATATATATATATATACACACACATATATATTCTTTTTATTTCCAAGGCTGTGACACTAAACATTTTAAATACGTCGGTTTCCAATTTAGAAAATAACAAGGATATTATGGTGACTGCTGGTACAGTTTAAATAACAGTGGCAGAATTCTCCACTTATGCTTCAAAAATAATGGGCCTGTCTCTGTGTCAGTGTTACCTGGAGATGGAGACATTGGACCTAAACCCGAGCTGAAGTCCTTTCATTGACGTTTAGGCGTTTAAGTCTTTTTACTCCTAGCAGAATATTGTTGCGGGTATTTTATTTTAAATAAAGCTCGTTGTTGCAACTGGGGAGAAGTTGCTCAATGCAGTGATTATAAGAAGATCGAACCTTAGCAGAAATGCTTGTCTGTGGTACAGCCATTAGTTTAAAGGCCTCCCCTCTGCTGCTGCCTTGGCTCTGCAGTTATAGTGAACTGGCTCCACAGCACAGCTCAATTGTCTGGATTCAGTTGAAATGTTTTATTATAGCAAAGTCAATAAGGCTTGTGTGACCTCTGCCTGAACCGACAGAGTAAACTATATCCACTTCTAAGTAACACCTTGGTAGTAAAACCAGCTCTTTCCTATAGTTCTATTTCCTTTCAGTTGTAAAAGACTCGTCATTTAAGACAATCTATTTAATTTTACTCTATGAAAGTACACCTAAAGTTCATTGATGGTTAGTGTGTAAACAAAAGTAGCACTAATGAATTTACCTTCTCAACCTTGAAAAGGAAAAACATGTTGCATACCTCCATCTGTACTGTTTAGAACAAATACCATATAGCTTTTGCTTCATCACTGCATGTGGTGCTATAAACTCAGTTTTAATGCCTAAATTAAGGAAAGTAAAGTAATAGATATATCTTTATGACTATGGACAGAATATAAAACCTGCTCCTAATGATATACAAATCTAAAATAAACATTGGTCACACTTGGGCAGCTATGGTTTCATTATAAACATCAGCCCACTGAGCTGTATACCTTTAAATAAACTATTAATGTGTCATATTTCAAACATAAATAAAAAATATGACCTTAAGATACCATGAAACTTCATTAAAAAATAATAATAAAATAATAATAATAATAAATGCAGCTGGCAGAATCACAGCCGTGCAACTACATTTTCAGATACTTATGCATAGCCATAAACTTACCGTTTGATTTACTTTTGTATGACATGCAGTTTCGACCCTGAGATGTAACCTCGTTGAACTATAAGAACCAAATGATGCATTTTTCATGATAAATCACATGTTTATCATGATGGATTGATTGGCCTTTTCTACGCTGCTGGAAGAGAAATCACAGCTCACGGGCTGGACACATCACAGACTCACATCAATCACAGACTGAGCGTCAGCTTGCGGAGACACAACTGACATTCACACAACAAAAGCTGACAGTGTTTTCTTCAGACACACATCACACAGCACAGGGTGGAGTGAACAACAACAGACAGTTTGATGAGATGACACACGTTGTCCTTTTTTTTTTTTACTGTTTTTCACTCAAAAAGGTTGCTTGTTTTTCAGAATGTGTTCAACCTATCCTCCCCTGGTGCTACTAGCGTGCATGTCGTTCCTTTATTTATCCATGCCATACTAAAATATTCCAGTCGTATTAAAAGTGAAGGAATGGATTTTATTAAATTACCTCCAAGAAACATTCTCAAAAATGTTTTTTGAAAAAAAAAAAAGACAGCAGTTGTATATAAATACCTATTGTGAACTAACATATTTTTTAAGCATTTTGAGTTAAAAGCAGTGTTTAAAGTAGTAGTATAGTAACACATTGTTTTGATAAACGATGCTATGTTTAACATGGGCTAGTGAACATATTACACAGAAAGAAACTACTGGGACTTAAAGCATTGTTAGATAAAGATATCTCTCTAGAAGTTGTGGTTTGATCATTTTGATCCGCAGTAGGAGAAATATTGTTTTATATTTTTTAAAGAAAGAAAGTGGATCATCCCACGTTTTTACATTTCTTATCAAAATATATCAGCAGCATCTGAAGGATGAAGACACCACAGGGTAGTCATGCTAATTGCTAAAGGTTTCCAAATAAAAGGCAGAGAAGGAAGCATAAAGATTAAGATGGAGTTAGAAAAGAAGAAATAAAAGTGTAAAGTTGGAAAACCCACATGCTACAGGTTTTAAGAGTCAACAAAACATGTTAAGCCACCTCTCTTCAGAATCCTACAACAGGTTTGACAAGTTTTATTATTATACAATTTGACTTTTTAAAACTATTTAGAAAGGAACCTAGGCAAAGACAAAGACACGATAGTCTGGTGTGGTGCCAAGGACTTCATTTAGAACTTCTTTTTGGATTGAGTTGTACTGTAGAGGAGCTCTGTTATGGTTCTAGGGTTTGGACTTATTTTCAAGTACTCTTGGCATTTCAGAACTTGCCAACATCAACAGCAAATTTGTTTATAACAGAAGAAGAAGGTTGTATTTTCAAAATGAATGAGTTTAGCTTGACTGGAATAATTTTGTCATTGGTTAAAAAGGATGGTTTTGAATTTTCCATTGTTTTTCTCAAATTATATATATTCTCAAATTATATATATATATATTCTGACATGGATGTATAGAGTCAAGTGTAGCTGTCCATTGTCCCTCCTCCCTTCCTGCTCACCCTTCCACCACTTTTCCCTCTCTTCGTTTTCCAGTTTCCATTAGGGAGCCTGTCAGAACACTTTGGCACAGCTATAGATCGTCATGTCAAAGCAGCCTCGAAATGTGTCACAGCCCCTTCTTAATCCCTTAGAGAACAACTCCCCCTGTAAAAGCCATTATACCACCCTGTGTTCAACCTATTAACCACCGCTCATTATTACTGATTCATGTCCTGGCTTTGAAATGGCATGACTCCGATAGGATTACCTTGTTTGTAATTCATATCCGCAGGGTTGCTAATTCCAATGAGGGGACAATAACAAGCTTGGGGGTAGTTCTTATTACTAATTTATTTTCTACATGAAGTTCATACCTTATGTTTTTAAGGCAGCACGTTGAAACTATATTATAAACGGTTGAACGAGGTGATGTGAAATTCAATTCAATACGGCATTTATTTGGTTGATATTGTCACATTTGCCTTTTCTCTTTGCTGTCAAATGTGTTATCTGTCAAATTTACCTAAAAGAGTGAGATAGTCTCAACCCTTGAGACTTCTGTTTTGTTGCTTATCACTTAAAATGAAATAGAAGAACTGTCAAAGCATAGTTTACCTGTCAGTGGGAAAATATGACTGCAAAAACGTTGGAATACAAATTGTATCTTGGGGACAAAGTAATTTTGATTCTTCAGGCTCTTCTGTCAACAAACTGTTAGCACAGCGAAAATGGCTTTTATAGTTGGTATTTGAATCTTTAAATTTAACAAACTTTTTCAGCCTCCCATTTAAATCTCTATCGACACACCATTGACAGCATTGGCACATTTGTTGGCAAGCAAACTCTTTGTATTTGAAAGTTATTTCTTTACTTTGCTCTATTTTAAGGTGTAATCCTCTGCCAGCAGTGTTGCCATTACAGTGTAACTTATTGGTAGGATTCTCAAGGGGATTGAAATAATTTTTCAGAAAACAAACAAAACCAGATGGAGCTGGATAAAAACTTGCTACTAATATCAACTAATTTTAATAGGAATCCATTCAGCTTAATGGATTTCACAGATGTAACTAGCCTAGCCTTTACTCCATGATATATTGTATTTAAGCAGTTGTTCATTCTAACCTTTCAACATCTCTGGTTCTTTTATGCTTTTTGTTTGTTGTTTTGGTTTGATTCCCAGTGGAATCATGTGCTTGGTGCTTGCTAGGGGCGGCCTGTTAACAGCATATCTCCTGCTAACACAACAATTTCCCAAACATGGGATCAATATAGTACAAATTTATTTCTTTATTTTTGTCTTCACCATGGTAACTAAGCAAGGACATCTGTGGACACAAGTGTTATCTGTTTCTTCCTTAAGTAATTCCATGTTGAACAACGTTCACGTTCAAACGCACCTTTGAGTGGGTATTGCTTTTTTTTCAGAGCACATTTATGCAGTGTACAACTGCAGATTTGTTTAAGGTAAACATGATAGAATAAACTAATGTGCCATAAATGGGGATGTAGATGAACAGTCAAAGAAAACACTTGGTAGGCTACACAGCCAAACTATATAGAGCACATTATTGACATTGGAAAAATGAATACAACTGACTCAAAGCCAGCCCATTCAATAGTGCCATGAATAGATTTTATTTAGATTCAACATATTTAAGCTCCTTCACATCTTATCCTTTTATTTTTGCGCTATATCAAGTCAACATAATTTCTGCATACACACACACAAACAGCCACACAAACACATATTGATCTCAATTAATTGTGGTTAATTATGACCATGATTTGTCACTCTTCATCCTCTTCAGGGCTTTTCTAACCTCATCCTTTCTAACCTGATCTACCTTCTTCCTAATAGAACCAGAGACTATTACCTGGTTTAAACCAGGCATGGTCAACCTGCGGCTCGGGAGCCACATGCTGCTGTTTGCCCAGTTTCAGCTCTTACGTTCATGTCGAATTTTGTTTGTGTTTTTTCACACTATGTGAATCTCATGCTGAGGGAAGTAGTAGTCGTAGTATTAGCAGGAGTATACATTATAATCAGAGCCTTATACCCACTTCCAATATGTCATGTAGTTACATCCTCAAACTCACATTTGTTTGCAAATGCAAATTGATATGCATAATCTAAATACAGCTTAAACATGTTGTAAAAATACCCTAAATAGCTCTTTGTCCAGTGTTCTGTCAAACAGCAAATGCAACATAATAAATAAATAAATTGTGTGTGGGTGGGCTGAACATTCCCCACCTCCATTGCATTCTGGCCAGTGTTTAGCTGCCTTTGGTACGGTTTTTGTGCCTTTACCTTTCCTTTAATCTGTCATTTCTGCAAATAAAAGAAAACGTCAGCAGAAAAGAATGTTATTTTCCTCTGCAAATAATGTTGCTCATAAGCCAACTGAAATGCCTCATTTGCATTTTTGAGTTTGTAAAGAGACATACACTGCCTGCAAGATGAGTTTGAATGCACTGTGTGGGATGTTTTTCTCACGACTACTGGGAAAGGCATAAATGGACTTCATGTCTGTTTAGACAGTTGGTCCCAACAGAGCAGATAACCAAACCTATAGTCCCAAAAAAAGCCCTTCCCCAGGCCACAGCTGTGACATCTACAGAGCTGTGACCTCACATGCCATCCAAGTTTTACCAGGTTTGGATTTGTAATTCTTTGTCCCACTCCAGTTAACCTCCTGGCCAGATGGCAGGTTGGATGATACCAGCATATACCTCCATCATGCCTAACCCCATCTGGACAGGCCAGGTGGTTGAGCTCAAATCATGTTCTTCCGGACAATTAACACCATTCAACCTGCTCTGCAGAGGAGGATATTGCACATTTACTGATGTCTGTTTGGAGTCCTGGAAAATTGATTACCTGTCCATATTTGCCTTTAGAGTTGTGTCTCACAGCTGTGAGCAGCACCGGAGCTCCATTGGGGACTGTCACATTGCTTGTTATTTTTACACTGTTGGTAGTCGGATTTGGACGGAAGTCGATCAAAGTCAATTAAAAAAGGTATGACTGTGTTTTGTTGCGCAAACACCTAAAACTCCCCTGTTCCCGGGCACAGAGTCGTCTGTTGTCTTGTTCCACAAACAGGTGAAATGGAAAGGACAAATCTGTGCGTATGTACTTGTTATGTATGAGTGTGTGTGCAGTGACCATTCAAAGCACACAAATGTCCAACACATTTTATTTGAGTATTTTCCAAATAGTCCGCAGCAAAGGTCATTGTGTTCACTTTCACTTGCAGACATTTCCTCGTCATTAATACCTAAGCAGTTTGAGCGACTCATCCCAGATTGTGGTGTTTGTCCATAGATGTATGGAGGATTGTAGGAGTTAGTGAAGCTAAAGTCATCTGTTTGAATCCTGGCACGTCTATTTAGACTTTCAACATGAATGGTAATTAGGATTGCTCCAATAACAGGTCTGTTACGGCACATCTTCAGCCAGTGGTAGTCCACAAAACTGCAATTAATGGCCTGTCTGTTTAGTCTTATGAGACTTGACTAAGATCCTCAACATTCTGACTAGATGTTCTCATCCACCACGTTTTGATCAGCGTGTGTTTAACTTGTGGTGCTTTGGATGAGAATAATGTTTTGTCAAAAATGAGTCCACTCAGTATTCTGCACTTCACTCTATCCCTGCACTCCTTTTTAGGCATATTTTATGAAAATAATACATTGGAGTGTAGGTGATAGGACCCCTTCTATCAGGAAACCTTCTCTGTTAGATAGCACTGTAAAATATGCTGTTGGTTCATACCCCTATTTTCCTAACACAGAAATAATTTAAATAAATATCAAATAAAGATCTGATCAAATAAATAATCAAATACAAGACCTCAAAGTTTTATAGTTTTACTTGCAAGCAAAGAGTACAGGACAATGCTTACATTCAGAACTGCACTGAGGTATTCCTCAGTTCTTAAAGCTTATATACAGTGTTTTTACACACATATCAATGGTCAGGCCCCTGACCTTTACAGACATGTGGTGTGCACGTGCCACTTCTGAGTGCATGCGCTGCAGTTAATCAAGTCAGATAAGATCAGGTCAAACTCAATATTATTTATTCATGCAGATTATTTTATTTCAACAATTTAGAGAGGATACACAAGCACAGTCACAAACTGGCTAACAGTTTAGTAAGGATGGTTGGTCCACTGTCAGCTTAGCAGAAATTCATTAAACTGTCAGCATGCTTTATTTGGTTGACTGCTATATATATATATATATATATACATATATATATATATATATATTTGTACCAGGTAAGTAAATTATGAAGCAGGGTTCTTAACATATGTTCTTAACAGGGTTCTTAACAATTTTTTTCTACACAGGACCTTGCCATCCAAACCCCTGCCACAACAAAGGAACGTGTGAGATCAGTGAGACCTTCAGGGGCGACACCTTCATAGGTTATGTCTGCAAGTGTCCACCGGGGTTCTATGGAGTTCACTGCCAACACAGTAAGCTTGTCAGAACACATCTATTCTCAGGGAGTCTAGTAAACTTCTTTTAAATTAAATTAGTGGTTTTTAGTTAAGTTTAATTTTGTGATGCAAAATTATCAGGCAAATGAAAACAATGACTAAATTAAAATGCTATTTGTGTCCAAATTAAGAAGATCCTATATCATTCTCACCATCACTATTGTATATTGCATCAGTTCCTAAATTTGTTTACAGTACATGTATTAATATTTTATGTGCCCTTTTGCCTGTTCAAAAAAGATTCAGCTTTGTAAATTAGAATTTGAGCAATTATATTAATATTTAGCTGATTTTCCATTTTTTTCTGGCAATACAAAAGGATAAACAATGTACATGTATCTTGCTGTACATGATCCTTTCTAATCGTTTGCTACCATGTCAGGTTACATTGGTTGATGTAAGCTTCGCTGGTATTTTTGGTAATTCTTTGATTTGATTTTCTGTCTTGATTCAAAGTAATCTGAGCACAAATAATGACCTTGAATAGTGAATGGATGTTTAACATCAGATGGCAAGTAAACCACTGTTTAAAGGACATGTTCAGCAGAACGGTTGTGGGTGTGTGGGGAAAAGAATTGCTGAAGTTGCTTTCTTTTGTTGGGCATGCTCTTAATAAAGGTTAGTGTCAGAAGTTTTTTTTTTTTTTTATGCTGCTTCAGAGATAATGCCGATAGTCCAGGAGTATTGTTCTCATCCCAGTACAATTTACACCCTGTCTTTAAAATGGGTCTGAACTATAAAGCCTGTAACCAGACACGAGGGGGATCACAATCGTGTTATGCAATATATTTTGAGGTGCAACGAGTGCATTTTGCTGTTTTCGATCATATTGGCTTCAGAATAAGTCCTGATGTTGTTGTTTTTGCTACAAAACAATAAAGCCTTTTATTGATTTCTTTTGAAATTTTACAACAGCTAAGTCGTTTGATTTGATAACTGTTCATAGCGCCGCCAGAGGAAAACTTTTTTATGCCCAAAAAATACTCTTGAGTTATGTCTTTCCCTTTTTCACTTGAAGCTGGCCGTGTCACTGTTCAGTAGTACTATTATATAGGCCTTACTGACCCCCCCCCCCCACCCTTTCTTCCCCGCCCCGCCCCCCGCACAGACCCACACACCCACACCACACACTGCGATCTTGCCCAGAAGATGAACCCTGGAGTTCCACACCAATGACAGAGACATTGCCTCTGGGCCAAAGTGCCACAAATATTGAAACAATATTGCATAAATAGATTAAGTTAGTGTTAGTCTCAAACAGGATTTTTCAACTTTGGGGTCACAACCCCATATGTGGTTGCCAGGAATTCAAATAGGGTTGCCTGCCATGTCTAGAAAAAAAATAAACTTACATGACAAACTGAAACTAAAGCAATACTTTCCATCTTTCAAATCTTTACTGTGGCCAGTTAAAGACTAAAGTGAGTGAGTGAGAGATTGTTTGTTCACTGTCAATGTTCAGCCTTGTAAAAACAAGCTGGTTTAACTGTTCATGTGATCAGGGAAAAAAAAAACACAGTAAAACAAACGTAATCAAAAACTAATTCTCAGAAAAATATGCTGTGTGGTCACCAGAAATTTGTCAAAATGGAGTCACATGGCCAAAAAGGTTGGGAACCACTGGTGAAAAGGGATCACTTGTCATCCTGTCCACAGTTTCGTCTTTTTAACCAAGCATTGTGACATGTAGACAAAGGCCAGTTTTGTATTATGTACATAACACAGTTGTCCTTCATATGCCATGTGTGCCTGCAAGTAAATGTTTATTGTATCTGTCAGTCTGTGTTTCGATAAATGTTTTGAATACATGAATTTTAACCTATATTGAACAATCAAACTGAACCTCTGCATCTCTTTGTATATAGTAAGAGACCACTGGGGAGGCAGGTGTAGTAAATGAGCTACAGCTGATGGCAGTCATGTTTTCACATCTGTCGTTTTTCTCTCTCTTCACTGAAAGCTCGAGCATTCGAGCAAATGGATTGAGTCAACCAGATAAACTATTTGTCAATGCACTTCTATAAAGTGATGGCTATGGCATAGTTGTCATAATTCAGTTATTGTTTCCCATTGAGCCCACAGGGTGTTTGGAAACTGATTTGATATGGTGTGACTGCACATTAATGTCTGAAAATTTCCCTCACGGACATTATGGCTAAATGAATGAGAGAAAGTGAGCGAAAGAATATGATTCAAACCTTAAAGAGAAACCAAATATCTAAATACTTTCTTCAATAGGACATGATATTTTGAGATTTAAAAAGACAGTTTAAGGATCATTATTATATGATTTAATTCAATTAATAAATTATGAGGCAAAAGTAACATTCGTCACTTGTGTTAAATTTGTCACTCTTTGTTTCATTGCAGCCATTTGCTAAAATTAAAAAAGTTCATTTCATTTCTCATTAATGTACACTCAGCACCCCATCTTGACAGAAAAAACAGAAATGTAGAAATTTTTGCAAATTTATTAAAAAAGAAAAATATCACATGGTCATAAGTATTCAGACCCTTTGCTCAGTATTTAGAAGAAGCACCCTTTTGAGCTAATACAGCCATGAGTCTTCTTGGGAATGATGCAACAAGTTTTTCACACCTAGATTTGGGGATCCTCTGCCATTCTTCCTTGCAGATCCTCTCCAGTTCCATCAGGTTGGATGGTGAATGTTGGTGGACAGCCATTTTTAGGGTTGTCCACAGATGCTCAATTGGGTTTAGGTCAGGGCTCTGGCTGGGCCAGTCAAGAATGGTCACAGAGTTCTTGTGAAGCCACTCCTTGGTTATTTTAGCTGTGTGCTTAGGGTCATTGTCTTGTTGGAAGGTGAACCTTCGGCCCAGTCTGAGGTCCTGAGCACTCTGGAAGAGGTTTTCTTCCAGGATATCTCTGTACTTGGCCACATTCATCTTTCTTTCAATTGCAACCAGTCGTCCTGTCCCTGCAGCTGAAACACACCCCCACGGCATGATGCTGCCACCACCATGTTTCACTGTTGGGACTGTATTGGACAGGTGATGAGCAGTGCCTGGTTTTCTTCACACATACCGCTTAAAATGAATGCCAAAAAGTTCAATCTACGAGGAGAGGCTTCCGTCGGGCCACTCTGCCATAAAGCCCCGACTGGTGGAGGGCTGCAGTAATAGTTGACTTTGTGGAACTTTCTCCCATCTCCCCACTGCATCTCTGGAGCTCAGCCACAGTGATCTTTGGGTTCTTCTTTACCTCTCTCATCAAGGTTCTTCCCCCACGATTGACGGCCAGGTCTAGGAAGGGTACTGGTCCTCCCAAACATCTTCCATTTAAGGATTATGGAGGCCACTGTGCTCTTAGGAACCTTGAGTGGTGCAGAAATTCTGTCTCTGAGCTCCTTGGGCAGTTCCTTCGACCTCATGATTCTCATTTGCTCTGACATGCACTCTAAGCTGTAAGGTCTTATATAGACAGGTGTGCCATTCATCTTCTGCCTCGTGTGGTGTCACACCCCTGCCTTGTCAAGAGAACAAGTGCCACATTATTGGGCAAGAAGCCAAACATGATAATGGACTATCACAGAGTGAAGATTAGAACTGATTGGCTTGGTCATTATTTTATTTCACACTTTCATACTCTGTCAAGGACAGTGTGGTGTAGAGCCTGCTCACGGGACTTCAAGTGAAAGGTCTCAAGTGAAAAAAAAGGTCAGCAACAATGTTTTGAACTTCAAGGTGGATTATATAGTTTTCGGTTAATATGATGTTTTTTGTTTGTCAACACTGAGCATCTACTGTAGGTCCACTCTCTTGGCTAGTCAGTGCACTATTCTAGACCTGCTGGAACAAAATAATTAATAGTAAATGTATATAAACAGCACGTGATTTGGAGCTTTGTGTGCAGCGTGAGTGAAGCGAAAGACCAGCTAAGGCAACAGGAATGAAATGGGAAAATTGTAACTTTTCAGGCAGCAAAACGTGCTGCACCACATCCAATCAGTGTTGAGTTGATCCCGACGTGACCTCCCTAGAGTAAGAAAATAAGTTTAGAAACACTGGTGGACAAACGTACCATCGCCGTGTGTCTTGCACTAACAATAATAAAACCAATGATGAAAAATAGTTATGGGTTACAGTTAGCCAGGAGGTGGGACTTCCTGGTAATTTAAGGATGATCATTTCTGAGGATGAGGACTTTCTTTTCCCCTCTATCTCTTTTGGTGTAAATACTTCATTAGGGATCGTTCAGTGAATCTAAGTAATAAGCAGCTAGTTGTATGGACCCTGATGGTAGCTATCCTGACTCTTATGTTGCTTAATTTTACAGACTGCAAGGAAATGTAGTGCTCTGACTGAAAAAAAGATGCCACACCTCTTATTTACTCACAAAAAAGAGAAAAAAACAAACAAACAAAAATAAAATACAAATAAAGGATCATGACCTTGCTGTAAATAGGCACAGTGACAGAAAATAAGTTGCTATAGTCCGGCTTATTAGAAACATAATTACATTCTCGCAATAAGACCAAATGTCACAATATGTTTTAGCGCAGCTAAGCTGAGGCTAATTCTGATGTCATGTGATCACAGTCAAGCATAATTAACAGATTTTAATGGATGGAGCAAACACTCATACTTAGCAGTTTCTGTGCGTAATGATTGAAGGACATGTTTTTTACCAGCTTGGCTCACATCTTTGGGCTGATTCCATCTTCCCCTCAGATCGATACCATCTTTGGCTTTCCTTTAGAAACACAGAAGCAGGGCATAAATGTGGGATGTGTGATTGTCTTTTTTTTTTTTTTTTTTTGCACAGCTCCTCCATTTGATCCTGTATTGACAGTTACTATGACGCTGCGTTAGCCCCACTGCCTTTTGTGACAAAGTAATCAGCAGTGTTTATGGCTGTGGCCTGATGTGAAACCACAAGAAGCCATTACAATTCGTCAATTCACCTGGGGCACTTTCCAGGCTGCCTTTTATTAGAACAAGAGAACAAAAAAATC